TTGAAATTACTTTTTTTGCTTGAATTAAAATCTTATTTTACTTTGTTATGCTCCCGTGGAAACAAAGTGTGATTTATTTTGCAACACGCCTTACATCATCATGTAGTAATGCAACTCACATTAAATCACATGAAATTAGGTGGAAGTTGCCTCAAGGCTAGTGGCATGCAAGCCTCTTTGGCAGACATGAGAGGAAGATAGTTAAGTCTGTGTGAAGGGACGAGGTATCATCTCGGAAATACAGTTTTATGAATCTGTGTATTTATAGTGCTTCTAAGAACAACATTCTACATCAACCTCTTGCTCACAAGTCATCTGAAAAACAAGATACTACAAGTACTCACCTTCTCCCTGTAGATGTCAGTGATACATAGGCAACAATCATCAGACCCTGACAAGAGGTACTGGCCAGAACTGTTCCAAGACAATGTGTTAACCTAGATAATGATAATTTCATTTTACATCTAAAACTAGTAAGCAAATACAATTATAAATAAAACATCCTAAGCTTAGATAAAATGGTTTACAAGATACTTATACTTGCTTCTTTAAAAATTATTTTATTAGAGTATTGTCAGAGATTCACGACAGAAAAATAAATAAATGGTGACTCGGAATTGATACTAGAGGTCCTGTCTTAATAAATCTATATTTTTACCATTAATTAGCTACCAAATTTTTAAAATATTTGATCTTATGACTTTTCTATCTATGATTATTCTTAGAATATATTTTCACACATGAGAACTGGAAACAAAGTAAAGGGAGGAGGCAAATTAATGTTAAGACAGCTGATAATAAAGATCTGCTGTAACAAATTTTGAGAAAATCTAAAAAAAAAGGTTCACTTACACATCCGTGATGAATAGGTAGGTCTGCTTTAAGTCCTAGTCTTTGAACCAAATTTTCACTTCCTGGAAGTAAATAAAAAAATTGATTAACATTTCATTCTATTTTTTTTTCAAGTTTAATAACTTTGTATCAAACTGTTAAAAAATTCAAATTAATTATCAACACAAACACATAAACAGGTTACAGTGTACATTAGAAAAGAATGCACATATCATCTGTACTCTAACAGGAACA